CCCCCCTAAATGCCCGTGCCTTTCATTTTACCAGCCTTTCAACGACCAAGGGGCCCGAACGACGACGAAATTGCCTCAGGGGGGGAAAACTCAACCCTGAAGGGCTGCGAAATCAGGGGTATAAAATAAACCGCACCCCCGACGGGCTGCGAACTGAAAAAAAATAAAATTGCTAGGCCTGCCAGGCCGCTGACATTTGACATTGATACCCCGTTTGGTCCTTTTGCCGCTTTCCCTGCCTCGTGCGAGTGGCCCAACCATCTCAATCAAACAAACAAATTTTAGCTGTTTGTTTTGCCTAAAAGGCCCTACTACCGTCTTCCCCCAAACATAAAGCACCTAAAAATGAATGTATACAAGCTATATTTCCGTCCAGATACCGCCAAAATACGGGTGCGTTGTGTTCGGCGTAAAACGGTAGTGAGTAGGCCCTACCCTAGGCTAGGTAGGGTCTACAGGTGCTACCCTACTCTGCGGCAGGCACACACAGACTCAACACACTCGACCTTCTGATGGGTCGGTGAAAGTCCTTCGGAACAGTCTGGCTCAGTCTTGCTTTGTGTTTGCGGAGTTCTGTATAGCGAACAGGACAAGAGAGTCACCACACACACACACACACGCACACACAGACAGACACACACACGCACACAAACGCTGTGGTGGACTGTGCTCCACTGCGTGCTGTGATGGACAACAGCACGCACAGACACAAAGGCAGCCATCCCCAGGACAGGGGTTCCAACATACACAAGCCCACACACACCTGACCACACCGTGTGTCGTCGATTAGCTATTTTACGTGATAGAGGTTGGGCTGTGCATGTTGAAGGTTGGACGCTGATTGGCCTCTGCATCGTGACGGTTGGAAGCTGAGGCTCGGGATGTGCATTGCATGGAGTCTATCAGATGACCGGGCCACCATGACAGAAGGTGAGTAAACTCTGCGTTTTTGTTTCGTTTCCGTCGATTTTCTCCTTCTTTGGTTTCTGTGCTGTCTCTCTCGATCGTCCGAGCGATCAACGTGGCAAGTGTCTGGCACAGAGACACACACAGACGCACACACACACAAAGAGAGAGAGAGAGAGAGAGAGAGAGAGAGAGAGAGAGAGAGAGAGAGAGAGAGAGAGAGAGAGAGAGAGAGAGAGAGA